TGGTATTTTGAAAGTTTTATAAATGTTTGCATAGATATATTAACTTGTAGGCGAATACAGTTAACCAGTTTTTAAAGCCGTCTGCGTTCCTAATTAATGACACATCTGTTTGTTGGTCACTAGTTTATTTACATATTTTTCAGATTAACCTTAATCTCTTATAGCATGGAAGGATTACATTCACGGATTATACAACACTGGTAATTAATTCCGTTCATTCGGCGTTTCATAAAGGTAGTTGACAAGGCGTCATGAGACGAAGGCAAACGAGAGCAGAGTTAATTATGCTCATAGCCTAAATCAAGACGACCTGCCGATTATTCTTGATTATATTTTAAGGAATCTCATAATATTTAGATAGAAAATGGATTAAAAATTAGAATAAACCGTGACTGCAGACTCTAAGAAGGAGATAAATTATGCTTTTGAGCTGGGATGCTTTTGTAAAACTCGAGGCCTCTCGCACGACGAAGTAAAAAAATAAAAATGAAGCACGCCATAAAGCGATTTGAAAACATCTGGATCTGGATCAAAGCGACGAGACGCAAAGAAAAGAGGTAAGGGACGTCTCCCGACTACAAGGGATTGTAGTGATAACCCTGTAGTGCAGAGTACACCCAGGGAGAAGGCGAGGCAGGCAGGGACGAGATTAGAAGGCAATCCTCTGCCAGAACGGACACGCTTGAAGCCGAGAGACGCATTGGCAGAGACAGATCAGAGAAAATAAGGGGGATCGTGTTGTCATGTTTGATGCCACAATGGTCAATGGTTGCGGGATAAATCAGAAATCCCACGGATCCTTGCTGCTATAGCAAAATCTACAATTTAAATCGACGCTATCGAAATTGTACATGCAATACGGACCGAGAAATGAAATAGATTAACAGCGTTGTCACCAGAGGACAGGCTGGAGCTAATACAGAAATAATAGTGTTTTTTTGACACTTCTGTTCTCTGTTATTTTACTTTACACCCTTTCAGAATTATGTTCAGACAGAATCTACAAGTAGGCTGTATTGATTTATTCCGAAATTTGAAATGCGAAGATAAAGGTTCGACGACTACAGTCATGTACGTGAGTTAGGGGCACGCGCTCTCGTTTGGTCGAATTGAAAAACAACTGTTTTCTTTTCTTTTTAGAGTCAGGAATCGGCAAAAGATTTTTAAAAAACTTTAAACCCCTCTCATACAAAAAGCAACAAAAACAAAAACAAAACAACAACAATTAATAACAAACCAAAAAAGAATACTCTGATCCGATTTATCTGAGCGGAAAGAGACACGAATAAAGTGACTCTCTTTTCTGACTAGAAGTCCTGGCATCAAAGGAATTCGCAACTTGCCTTTAACTAGGCCTATCCCATGGTTTATAAAAAAGAGAATGGCAGTGCTGAGTTGCTCTGAACCTTGTCTAGTAGGTAATAAACTAGACTGTGAAGCAGGACTGGTCACTTCGATAAGACGCGTTGTGAGAGTTTTTATCTGTCTTCAATTTGCATGCCCTACATTGTGGTGAAAATGAAGCTCATTACTCAAAAGCCAAACACTAGGAGACTGGAACTTAAAAGGGAGATAATGTGAAATTACCTTATAAGTGATAGACTGGCCATTTCGCTGAAAGTCGTGGTTGTCGACGAAAACAAAAGCCTGGTCGGATGGAGACATTCCCCAACCTGGGTCGTAGACGCCGCCCAGCTTGCCCAGGTCACTAGCGCCATCTTTCACCTTCTGGACGTAGCGGAACTCTGCAAAGTGTTTTTGGGGAGCCATTAGGGGTCTTTAAATAAGGGCTAAAATGGAAGATCTAGAGAATCACAAAGTAATGGGAGGTAAAAGTTTAGATCAGAGCAGTTAGCATCTTGAACAGCCATTCGTCATATACGGTGGGTAGTAATTCCTAAAGAATAAACAAAATAAAACTCTTCTAAATGTATCACTATCTAATCTGTCCTACGATGCAGCCACAACTCTTATGATTAGACTGCATTTTACTAGTCCTTATGGTATAGGGATCTTATGGATATATTGATATACTCGACAGTACTTACGCTCTAGTTTTGGAGCGTATAGTTAAAAACTCTAATTGAAGAGCCTGATCAGAAGGGATGAGATAAGTGTCTCGTATCTCAGCTAGTACTATTAGTTCTTTGGAGAGCATTTTGATGCTTTCAAAGTCCACAACAGCAGTTTTGAAGTAAAAGATGCCAATCATAGCCATGTGACCAAGTTGGATGCCTTGGGTCATAATGCTCTATTCCCTCTATAGGCCTAATTTTTTCTAATTACGTAGACTGAAATGAGCTTGGCGTACTAAGCTGACAGACGCCCAGTTATTTTGTAAAGAGGAGAAAAATGAAACCTTCCTCGCTTTAAACACTCTTCACTTTACTGAAGGCATTGTCGTTTTTTCTCTTTTAAAAAAAAATTAAATTTGCTTGTTTTTACGCTTAGTCATACCCTAGACAGCACGGAAAAGACACCATAAAATATCAGACATTGTTACCTGTAACGTAACCAGTGTCGAAGTATTCCTTGTCTTTTACCACACCATCGTTCCGGTCCATGACTTCCATATAGAAGAAAGGTCTTCCCCCTTCTGGCAAATCCTTGGTCTGTAGAAAGCAAATGTGACATTTCTCAGAGGACTGCTGCTACACTCTCATACTGGTTTGGAGTTTTCTTAGCAATTTTCCCCCATTGTCAATACAAGTTAAGATACAAATCACCAAAAGGCACACGTAAAAGTGCTTCTCTGCCCTAATGTTTGTTTTCCTGAAGCTGTGGACAAAATTGCACGTTGTTAAATATGAGGAGGTACATGTAACTTGATTGCCTCTCCATCCCATCCTTCAAAGATAGTGTTCTTTTAGTTGTTTTTTTGGTTTTATTTTACACTAATTACACTAACCGATACCACACAATTTTTGCAAAGTAAAAGAAGAAAAGAAAAGAAAGAACGAGAAAATATGGGCGAAATAAAGGGCATAAACAATCGTGTTTTGTATTCTTTGAATTCTTTTTTTTAAAAGAGGTTTTTTTTTCGAGTGCTTAGAACCCCCC